TAAATAAAGTATTATATTTAATTTATTAATTTATTATTAAAGAATAATGTTTATAATATATTTCCAAATAGCTTGAAACAATGAACAATTCTTAATCAATGATTTATTAAAATTGTTTAACATAAAAAATTTGGAAATATTTAAAAAACCAAAAATTGGGAATTTCAGAATGCGTGGACTTTCTGGTTATCACATAATGATAGTCTCGAAGTATTTCAAGACTACCAACGACTTCATTAACTTGGAGTTGGTATGCAAAAAGTTTAGTGGCAATATGGAAAAGTTCCATTTCAACCCGATTCCGTCAAATTCCAAAACACTTAGATACTTCCCAAACATTGAGACACTTCACTTGTGGAATAAAAAAGATGAGACATTTGGCAATGTATTTTCTATCAACACAAAAGAAAATGAAAATAATACTATTTTTAAAAAAGAGTTCTTTTATATGATTGTGTGGTTCATTGTTGATTTTGAAACTGTTGACAGAAACAAAAGTCGAAACATCGAGTTTAAAAATGTTACTTACACTCAAAATGATAGAGAGAAATTTGGTAATAACATTCCATCAAGTGTGACATCGATTGGTGAATATTGTTTTAGTGGATGCAGTAGTTTAAGCAGTGTTACTATATTATTAAAAGTAAAATCATTTGGTGATGATTGTTTCAGTAAATGCAGCAATCTAAATATATGTTATAATACCATCGAATGTGACATCAATTGGTTTTAGTTGTTTTTATTAATGTAGTAGTCTAAGTCGTATTGATATACCATCGAGTGTGACATCAATTGATAATGCTTGTTTTTATGAATGTATTGGTTTAAATAATGTTGCAATACCATCAAGTGTAAAATCTATTGGTGATGGTTGTTTTAATTTTTGTATTAGTCTAAGCAGTGTTACAATACCATTTAGTGTGGCATCAATTGGTACTTATTGTTTTCAGTCAAACACAGTAGTTCATCAAAATTAATTTACTTGTTTCTTTTATTTAATGTTTATTATTGTTTTAAAAAATTTAATTAAATTATAAATTGTTATATTATTATTTATTAAAAATAAAAAAGTTGAAAAAGTCGAATAAATTATTTTACGAAATTGATTTTATCAATTTCTTCAAAATAGAGGTAGAGAAAAACTATTAAATCACCAAAACAATTGGAGTTGAAGAAGAGCAGAAAAGAAATGAAACAAAAGAAAAAACAAAGGAAAAATTTTTTAGCAAAACAAGTTTCAGACAAACCACAAAAAGTGCTGCGTTTTAGACTTCCACATTTTTTAAGTGAACAAATTGAGGTGTTTTTGTTTATTTTTGAAATAGAAATTTATAATTATCCAATTTATAATCATTTAAAATAAAAAAAACTATAATTTATATTAATATTCAAATTTTATGTTTATTTTGACCTTTAAATAGATATTTTAAAAATTATCGTTTCAAAATTATTTTTATCAAAATTAACTACCTTTGTCTTTTTTTTAATGCTTTTTATCCCCCGACTATATATGCTTTATCAAATATATATTAACAAGCACTTTAAAACCCGATAATAATTATCGGGTCAACAACATCATTTTAGTCCAAATAATTATTCTTTATTTTATAATTAATATTATAAAAAATGCTTATTCGTTACATTTTTAATTTTATTTATGAAAAAAAATAATCAACCTTTATATTCATTAATTGTATTTTGGTTTTATTGGTTTTTTATTAATTTTTAAAATTGCAAAACAACAATAACAAAAATAGAAATTAACATGTTTTATACTTCTTAAAACTGCTGAGTGTGTTTTTTTTCAAAATAGTGTAAATATTGGGTTTTATTTTCAAAGTTTCTTATAAATTCCCCAACCAGTTTATAGACCCCCTAAAATTATTTTTTTTGAAATATACATAAATAGATTAACCTCTAATTTAAAAATTTAATCAAATAAAACTATTATTTATTAACATTCTTATTATATCATATTTTAAATATTGATTATTAATTAATATTATTAAATGGCGTATAGTATATACTCACCAATTTACATAATCTTTTATTTAAATAATCTTTATAGCCAAAAATGGGTGGGGCAGGTTTCGGGAGCCACCACCTCATTTTGCCGGCAATCTCGATATTGTCTTTATCAATTATTCGTTTTTATTAAATGATTTTTTTGATTGTTTTATTTTTAAATAAACAAAAATAAACAAATAAGTAATAACTAAATTATTTCATTTGCTTTGATGAACTATAGTATTTGATGAGAAACAATAATAACCAATATATGTGACACTTAATGGTATTGTAATACTACTAAGACTGCTGCATCCATTGAAACAACCATCCCCAATTGATATCACACTTGATGGTATGTTAATACTGCTTAGACTGCTACAACCATAAAAACAATCATCATCGATAGATCTTACACTAGATGGTATTATAATACTGCTTAAACTACTGCATCCACTAAAACAATATTCACCAATCGATGTCACACTTGATGGAATGTTATTACCAAATTTCTCTCTATCATTTTGAGTGTAAGTAACATTTTTAAACTCGATGTTTCGACTTTTGTTTCTGTCAACAGTTTCAAAATCAACAATGAACCACACAATCATATAAAAGAACTCTTTTTTAAAAATAGTATTATTTTCATTTTCTTTTGTGTTGATAGAAAATACATTGCCAAATGTCTCATCTTTTTTATTCCACAAGTGAAGTGTCTCAATGTTTGGGAAGTATCTAAGTGTTTTGGAATTTGACGGAATCGGGTTGAAATGGAA